AATTTGTTAACCATGCATCTAGATTTGATTGAAATGCTATTTCGCGATGTGTAGTTGTATCATGAAGTTGAATGCATCAAAATTGTATAATAAAACAAACGATTTAATAATCAATTTCAAAGTCAATTTTACACACGAATAATTTTTCGTTATCATTGTCAATGAAACTTCTCCGATCGGATATAATAATAACACAATATATACACTGTCTCGAGGAGATTGTGAACTTCTAAGTAAAGTTTGTAATTGTTCCGCGTAACACAAAGGAATAATCCAAGAGGTAAGCGGCTGTCTTGACGAGACACTGGACCACGGGATAGGGGAGCGAAGTATTAGGCAAGCGTCATCTGCACGTTCAGATTGAAGTTTAAACTCCAGACACATGGTCCAGTCTTAAATAGACAATAGATTAGGCAGTTGGTCATTATTTCCCATGAGATATGTTAATTACGAAATTTGCAATATATTTTCGAAGACGTCGGTTCAGTCAATAATAATCTCCAACTGGAGTTTCCTAAACAATCGTAGACGGCAGAGACATAATTTCCAGATGCCCCGAGCGCAAACACGAAAATTCAAAATTGCGAATTACGAATTAAGCCGGGCGAACTACAATAGAGAGCGACAACAAAAAATTCGCTGGGGATGTGGGTTAACGCGTTTACACGAAATAATAGTAGCACAACAGAATAGAGGAGTTACTAGTTACGCCGTGATCCAAGTGTAACGTAGGGGCCAAGAGAGGGTTGCGAATAACAATACACGAGGGAAATACATACACGTGTATGGCATGCACTCGTTCCCAGGACTGTTTGCAGAGCTTCAGAATCCAAGAGGCTTTACCCATTCGACATATTCGTTCGGACGAGGTGTGAGTAATTAGAAAATCAATGAAAATTAACATCCTCGGCATTAGGAGAGCGAATAGGCTAGTGTTCCACAAAAGTTCTTAGTACTTCTTTTTACGACAATATGCATTTCTGGTTTATACGTCTCTTTTTACGCCATTTTTTACGATACACCATAGTAAGACACGTGCGTTAAGACATGGTTATTTTTGCGAGAAACGTTACGTTCTTTCTACGTTATTGCTCATAAATTCTGGCGCACCGTATGAATTGTTATATTCCTTTTGCTTCTGGCTTAATAGCAGTTTGCGGGTGAAAACGATTAAACTCCTTCGCTATTGCTCTGCCTTGAGAATAAAACTTATACGTTTCTTCTGGCGTTTATATTATTTTCTCGAGTAAATTTTAAATGCGTAATATCCACTCTAGCGATAGAGCTACTATACATAGAAAAGATATATCTGTATGGAAATAACATAGATAAATTATAGTGACTGCCCGGCGAAATCGATGCTTTCCGTTGAAGTGTCACGACGGTAATAGAACTGGACTGTTATCGAGGGTATGAACGTCCGGCATTGTGTACTGGGGTTGACACTGTGGACGCGACAAAGGTACCACCTCGTCTCACTAATGAATTCCAACCCTCGTAAACACATTTAGAGACGTACGAATTCTCGAGATTTCTTGCCCACGGTGAGCCATAAGAAATTTGACGCGTTGTAGGTGTACACCCCAATCCCTTACTCTGTTTGACTAATATCACAGAGTCTGGTGAACGATACATTCGCCAAGATCACACCTCGATATCATTCGGCTCTCTTGTGTTGGTATTATCTTGAATTTCGTTAAGAAAAATAAAATTTGAAAACTATTCAATCGGTCGGTAGCGACTGTTCGTAGCTAGTAATTAAGTAAATCTTCGCCCAGAGTGTACATTAATTATTGGCACAGAATCAACCGCGTCGCGGAGTCTTTGTGGAAGAAGGATGGTCGTTAATTGCGAAACGAACCGCAAAGAGGTGGCCACGTTCAGTCACACAGTGGTCTACCTCGTTCAAATTGCAACGACGAGGAAAGTTCGAGAGTGACTCCCGACGTTGGTACCCGCTATAATTTGCTTCCCTTAAACTTCACGTCTATAGAGCTCCTATCCCGGTACATTCTCTTCCTGTAGTCAGGATCGAACCACGCTCCATCCTCTTGCTACATTTCGAACTCTACCACTCGGCTAACGGCATAGGCGCAATGCTTCTCGTTTTGCAAAGTCGAAACTTTACGCTCCGTATGTAATGCCGCGGTTAGAACTTTCTCGACTCTACGTATACTACATTAAGAGCGACATTTCGTTCGACAAAAGAACTCGTTAGTACCGTCTGTGAGATCTCACGCATGAGCTGTCTCAAATTATTTCGTCATCATTTTATTCGGATGTATCCGCACACTGATGCTGCAATTTAATTTAACTTTGAGGATGCGCTTTATACTTTCTTAGCAATATTAGAACTTAGAAATTGATATATACCTTTCATGTAGGTAGGTTGGCATCGTATATCAATCCTGTTTCATGTAACGTAAAGGGATTCTATATAGGAACCTCACGTAACGTGCACCTACTTCAACCGCGGCAATATATCAAAGGGATTCATTAGATAAATATTTGAGCTCTATAAATGCAGTTCAGTGGTGTGTATGGTCGCCGTAGGAAATTTAGATGTTCGTAAAGTTTTATGGAGCCAAGGAATTGGAGACGCGACCAGACTCGGAGTACAATATTCGCATCATTCTCGAGTAGAAAATTGAATTTACATGAAAAATGATATCGTCGTGAAATTGCTGGAATAATTTACCTTAAAAGCATTATAAAGACCTATCGTGATACTGATATTTTATTCACATGTATATATAAAATATATTTATACAAATATATTTATGCGTGTAAGGATCCTCAGTATACGTTTCAACACGCACACGTAAATACGAATGAGCGAATCATTTTTGTAATAAATTTATACATCGAAGCAAATATCCACCTACGTGATATCGTATGAACCGCGATTCAGTAAATAAAATACGAAAATGTTTGATATATTAATGTCGGAGGGCTAACCGCACCCCGAAGAATTCATAATGCAATAATATTCTCCCCCTTACCGAACTATGTACATTCCAACGCATATTTCTCACTTCACGCAGAACATCCTAATGATCTTCCTACTTAGCATATAATATTCCATGTAAAGCGGCTTTATATGTCAAACCTAAAAATAACTAGTAAAAAGTTCCAAAGCAAATGGAGTTTATATTTTTTGTCGTACCTTGTATACTCTAACAAACAAATGCTCAAATAATTTTTTTGTCCTCATACAGACGCGATTAAAACAGTCGGATTTACGCTCTGGTTCTACGTCAAGGTTCTGCGTATATTCTGGTATATCAAAGTAAATTTCTTGCGGGATAATAATTTACTTAGACCATAGATACACATATACATATATGTATATGCAGGTGTGTCTTTTGACCTCGCGCTTTCACGTCGAAGCCACAAAAGCATCGACAGGTGTAAGTCTATACGAGACGTCGAATCATTTGAAAGAAGATACCGTTGAAGGAAAAGGCCACTCATCCTCGGTGAGTGAGTTTGTAAAACGAGAGTTTTTCAGGCTTTATCCACTGAAATTAAAGATTTCCAAAAGCTTCCTACTAGGTCCCCAGCAATTACTACGTTACACTCGAAATCTTGAAGCTACCTTGAGCATCTGTATAGTACAGAGGATAATAGAATACAAAGAGAATAAAAGTAAGCCGGAAGAGTTAAAACAAGATCATTCTCTCACGCACGTCTGGCTGAACGTCAAAAGAAAATAAGTACCTCGAAGCACATGGCAATGCCAAAGAGTAATGTCGTTAATTAAAATCATAGAATTTAAGAGGTCATTTAGTATCCTCCGTTCATAAAATACCTGGCAGTCCGTTGTGTTCGTTGGCTCGTTACTCAACGTCGAAAGACTTCCTTTGAGTAACAGTAGCCGGAGGCTGCGAGCGGTTGGTGCCTACGTTAATATAAAAGGAAGAGAGAAAAAAAGTATCAGCGATGAACCACAACCAAACCTTCCATCTTCTAACAACCCTTATTGACTTTCAGCCCTATTACGGCACTTTTAGAATCTGATTCCCACTGCAGCACTTTCAATCATGTCTCTCTGATGTCTGGCTTATCCTTCAATTTCAACATCATCGACAGTTCTACCAACGGCAACCTCGTACCTTCCACCTTTCGCGAATTGACGATCAACCTTATCAAGGGGTGGATTTTCGCGATGGAATTGAACTCTTATTTAAAACGGAGAACGTCAACTGTCTCGAGCTCTTTTATTTTGAAACCCGTCGAACAATGTAGCCCCTACTAGTTTCAACTGTTCTCCTATTCAAATTCAGTTTCTAGAGTTTTTAATAGTCAATTAGTATTTTAAATTTGAGGTAATCTTACGTACGATGGCGTATGAAGAAAATAAAATGAGATAATTTTCTCGGAGATTTCCAGTAGGTGATAACTTTCTGGACCCATTCGTGTTTTCCAGCTTTTTTTATCTCGTAAAAGTTCGCTAGAGGCATGCCTATTTATTTTCTTTTGAGGAATTGTACATGTAGATATATGGTGTGCCTCAGCCGTGGGTTGCATTGTCGCGAAATGCTTTATCCGCAGGAAGGTTTCGTAGGTCAGGGAGTTACAGCTTCCTGAGACCCAGGTGACCTACGTTAGACATGTTGGGGTTGATATATAATCTACAGTCTTGGACTCTAACACGTTATATACTGCATGGTTCATTTTATCGCAAATGCTCCTAAGCTATTGAAACTGGTTAACTTGACGTTTAAGGATATACTAACCACTACCATTTCTACATTATCAATGCCTTTGAGTGCGAACAGAAAGCCGGCAAACTGTTTCATAGTTAATGATTCGTGTTGTCGATGATATCTTGAGAATTAACCAAGGAAATCGCTAATTTTTTATTTATAAAATATTTCTGACTTGTCTACTTGATTTATCGATCTATAAAGAACCTAACTCAAGCAAAAATCAAAATTCATACATTTTTATGAAATCTTCTTCACAATATAACTTTGCTGTCTTTTTGACTTTTACAGATATTCAAGAGTTTTACGAGCTGACGTTGCTTGACGAAACGAAATCGGTACAGCAGAAAACGGCAGAGACGATCCGTATTGCTGACAAGTGGGAAGCCAGCGATGGACCGATCACGCCGACTTTCGCGCAGAATGACGTAAGTTTGTTCTCATGCATATTGTTCAATGAAAATAGAAGTGAAAGTTATTCGATGAAATTTCATCGCTCGCGTACGTCCTCGATGACGGCATGCATAAATTTATATCACTCAGAGTATCTGAAGCGTCAATACGTTAGTGCCAACTGACGTATGATTTCCAAACTTTCGTTATGGATCGGATTGGGATACGGCACATATGACCACACAATTAGTGTCAGCAATTATAGTTCGGGAGCTGATTGGTAGATCCGCGATGTCATGGACGCCACCAATCCCCGTGTCGAAGTTTCAATTTTAACTGCTAATTGCCACACGTTTGCTATACTATCACAATTTCACGATAATTACCAGTATAAATCATCGGCCGAGTACACCTACACATTCGGCGTTTCAAACAACCAAATTATATTATAATACCCAACTAAGCAATACTTTTCCATAATCAAACTAAATTCCGCTATTCAAACTCGACACTATGAAAAATTCATGTAAAGTCATTCCATCCCAATTACACGTCCGGAGTACATATCGATGGAACAGCGAATCCTGATAGCAGAAACATAACTCATTTTAAAACACGATAAAAATTTACATAAATAAATCTTTCATTTTTTAAAAAATATTTTCAATCGTTCGTAATATGGAAAACCACTGCTTTGCGCTGACCTAACATTTACGTTAATGAGCACCAGAACGCTAAACGCTCCCAGGGTAGTACAATGCTTTCCGGAGGTCAGCAGATAACATATTATACCCATTACATGATGCGTCTCTCTACATGCAATATATGTAGGTCTATGCTCCTCATAATGCAAGGACGATGTGGTTTATATATAGGTATTAGCCCAGTACATCCCTGCCTTGATTATACAGCTACGGATTGGCACTCGTGTTCTATCTGGGTGATTGAAGATTTGAAATGGCCAAAGGGATGTGGGATCAATATGATGATGTAATGATTCATAGATTGGCTTCGACATAAAACACATAAAGTAGGGTACAAATTCAACTGTATCATCCGAACGATTCCCAGGAGGACTATATCCTATAGAGCATCCTACGTGATTTTGTTTCCGATTTCGCAAGTTCATTTAACTTTCTATTTGATTTTGCAAAGTTCCTACGGCAATTCTCATGGTATTTCTGCAAAGACAGTCCTCGCTGGAGAAACTCCGCGAACAGTGACGTAGTAGAGCTGTACCTAAACTGTGCTAGAAATAAACTTTTGTTGTGCACTGGATCCTAGATAGTTATGTCGCCGGTATAATGCACGGAAGTACAGTCATATACATTAAACATCCTAGGGACGATTTAACATGCGCGTATATATGCATACACATGTGTCTATGGTTCATCCGTATGTATTTATGTACGTGGGACTTCGAATGCTTGATGCATTACCGTTTTCAAGGGGACAAATGGAATTTATAGCTGCTCCTTTCGAATCGTAAGTATTTTCCGTGGTCAGTGACCGTGCTCTTGGCAAAAGAACGATTCGCCACGTAGACAGTAGCTGCTAGTCGTTTCAACGTACTTCGAGTGCATCCACACCGAAATGCATTTTGGCTGAAATCGATGTGTTTGTCCGTGAGGTTTCTATTTCCTGTTAAATTTCATGTTTTTGTAATGGTCGTTATGGTTTAAAAATTTCAAAATGAAAGATCGAGGAATCCACTCAATCGAATGTCGTTGATCTTTAATAAAATTGAAGTATTTTCATGATATTAACCAAATTTGGCCTTAGTGGTCGCTTGTGCGTTGATAATTACGGATTTTGTCACGGTAATGATTTTGATATATTTAACTAATGAATTGTCAGTCACGTGATCTGTCGTGAAATATTGATTTTGATATTGAGGTCGTGAACGTACAGCGTCAAGCTGCGACGAAAGCAAGGAATAATGACTGATCGAGCTTGCTGTTCTTTAACTCTATTAAGGCTAATGGTCTCTCTCTATTTTGGTAAATTGTTCGCTGGGAATACTTTGGGCCAGTATTTATATGTCAGTCCTGAAGCTGCAAAAAGCCATAATCCACCCTGAAGAACATGTGCCAGTCAGCAGAACTGCAAGCTGGATGTCTGGTCACCCTCCCTCGTGGCTCATCATTCCGAATTATCACTCTTGGTCATCTTACGTTTGCCATCGGATAAAAGCTCTGTCTTTTTCTTTTATTGTACTTTATTGGTCTTCGAGAAATACCCTTCTTCATTTTACTTTTTAATACGTCACTTTTGTCTCTCGTGCCTCAATTTATTATCTATTTATTTCGTCTGGCGAATGCGCGAGTTCTAAGAACTGTACGGGCAGCCCTGTAATCGTCGCAACATCCGAGGACAGGGAACAGCGATACTGTAGGCGAAGAAGAATGAAATTTTATTTATTAAAAGTCATTGTTTGCGGTGTTTATTTTATGAGATCGAAGATCGACTGAATCATGAATGATCATGATCGTCGTCATCGTACAATTGCAATTGTAAGCAGGAAGACTTTTGTCTGACTCTAATGGGGATGTAAAACCTGATTAATCACTTTCTGTGTATTATTCGGATACTTTACTTTTTTTTACGATTATCCAAGATGGTCGGCGTGAGACGATGAGTAGAGGGGAAGAAGAAACGAATATATAAAGAATATATATGAGATTCCAAGACACTATAATGCTTTCAGACTTGGTGCTGCCTCTGCATTAATCAAATCCTGTAGCATGGTACGAAGTGTGGCTTAAAAGAGGCCAGAATGCCATTTATAATAAACACTAAATCGATTTAGGTCGAGGATTCGAATGACCTTTATTTTTCTTCTTATTATTACCAATTTCGTTTTATCATGTTATTATTACAGCAATAGGCATATTCAAATAGCTATTCAAATAGCTCAAAATCTATTAGAAGGACATATCATAACACTCCTATCATTTGTCTCTCTATTATCGAGGAAACGAAATATTCGACTATCGAATCGCTTAAACACTATCGTAGAATTCCACGCTGAATGAAAAATGAAAAATGAAAAATAATAAATTCACAAACGAGAATATTTGATGCCAAGTGCATTAACACTAGAAAGACCGAAACTTAGTATATACCTATATTGCCCAAGGCAGTCAAAATGACTGCATTGTGAAAGAATACCTAATGTGTAAAGAAATTTGTTTAAAATTAATTTTTAATATTTTTCATATTATTTACAGTTATATACTTCTATTTGACATTTCTTTCATGAATTTAGGGCGCAAAAGAAATAAAATAAACAACTTGTTAGAACAAGTATTACTGCATAAAGATTCGAATAACAAGTACTACTTTAGCTTATTGTGCAACTGCGACTTATCAAGTATACGCCCAAATCGACAATTTATCATGTACTTGTATGTTATCATATGATGATAATCGAAAAAAAAATGAAAACTGTTATTTCAATACAGAGCCGAACTGGTCATATAAGGAATTTAGGGCAATATAGATATAACACACATATATATATATACCGGAAATGAAGGAGGGGGGAGCTAACTACAGTTATTAATAAACGCATTTATATGTTGTAGAAAAAGTCACAAAGTTCTAAGAAATTGTGTCATTATATACATAATTGTTTTTCTAATTGAAATTAAAAAGCAGTCAAAATGACTTTCTTGGGCAATCTCGTGTTAAGCTAAAAACTCATATAATATTGATAAATGAAAAAAAAAATGTAAAAGGTTCATTTGCCATTAACCGTTCAACCGATGTTGAATTTACTGCTTTTTCCCGGGGCATCATAAAATACGAAACTAAATGAAAACATGAAGCCGTAGGCATACCTATACAATCACTGAAATTATCGAAATCTGGTTAAATGAATTAATTATCAGTCAAAATACGTAATCATCGTTTCGAAAAATAATTAAAAATCCGGTTATTGGAGTTCTCAACCTCAAAGTTTTGTCTTTTTAGGCAGAAAATATTGCTCACGTTATATACTTCCAAAATTGATAACGAGATGTCTCTTATTTAGTCTATGATATACGGGCAACCTAATGTCCTTGCGCAAATATATGCACGCTATGCTATTTGCTGCCACGAGGAGCATAAAATCCGCACGAATTAATATGCTGCTCTCTGCTGCAGTAGCAGCGTCATTCTCGACAGGATGTATCAAGCACTGCTTGATCAACATGAGTCTCGTTAAATGTACGAAATTCATGTTAATTAGTAGAGTCTATCAAAATCGGTAATTAATATACCTTATAAACAAAAAAGTCAAGTTCAATCAATATTGTGATTATCATTCACGTAGAATTACGAAATCATTATTTTTCTTGCACGACCAGAATTTTTTAACAATTTTCCCTATAGGGTTTTAGGGTAGGGGACTTAAATTATCGTAATAAATTAGAGACATTTTTCATATTAAAACCTTCTTTGGAATTCTTTTTTTTTACTCGCCCGACTGTACTTTGCGAACCCCGTGTGCCGCACCTGTCTTCCTTCTTCCCTTTTCCTTTGGTGTTTAATCGCGCGAAACATTGCTCCTCTATATCATCCCTTTCCCCATCTTGCACATTCACTGATACTAACCCCCCGGAACCCCACTTTCCGGCGTGACACTATACCCACCCACCGCCGGAAGACAATACCAAGTTAATGTTCATCTTTCTTTGCATCACAGTTCAGAGCTTTAATGGATGTTTCACTGGACGAAGGGAGGCGTCCTAGCGCGCACGTAAAAACTTTTCACCCTTTTGTCACGCCAAAATGAGCGAACGATTCCTTGCTCGTTTTCCTCGACGCTTGACCATTGTCCTCTTTGATAATGGGTTCTTTCATTTGCCCTTTTAACGTCGCATTCCGCGCCCACGAATGACGCCACATACGTACAAATTCCGAAACCCCCTCTTACTAAACCACACGATCACATGTGTTCGAAGCATTTTTTTCTTTTACACGGCGAGCAATGTATAGAGGATGTTCCTACAGAATCCTTCATTTCCGTCCTGCTCTCTATACACGAGGG